TCTCGTTCCTCTACTCAATATATGCACTTTTGCTAGCTTTTCAACCCTGCAGTTCGCTACCTGCTTCTATTGTTGCCTATTCGTGACTCCCAGTCCATATAATTCCCGAATGTTCCAATTTCGTGTTCGCTTCTTCTATCCCACTAATGACGACGTTTTGACATGAGCGATGAGCGAAACAGTGCGTCATGACATAAGAGGTTGTTTTTACATTGTGTGCTACTGATTGACTTGTGTTTGCTCTCCTACTCGATTCGATGTCTGACGAGTTTATCAAGGCATTGTCTGTAAATTTAGTGAAGTTTGCACAGTTCGCAAATGTGACGGTAAGGCAGTTCTAACATCAAACTTTGGAGACAACTAGCCACAGCGCAGTTGCTTTCCGAAAATCATTGTAAAAATGTTTGCATGCTCGTACTAGTACTCCATAAATTTTGCATTGCAAAGTAGCTTCCTTCTTCACTCTTCAAAGCAAAAAAAATCCCAGTATATAGTCCGGAATTATTCAGAACGACTTTTGAAGGTAAGGACACTTACTTCATGAAGCCTAGCACCAGCTCACTACTTCTTTATTATAGTGACGGACTCAGTATGAGTGATAATCATCTCTCTCCTATTTCTCTAACCTTTAAATCAACTGGCTTGGCGGCTGAAAGGCAGGGCGTTGTGACCTTGTCAGGCCGCGCGCGCCCGCAACGCAGTCTGCGTCTCTCCTGCGCGCGTGCTTTCTGATCAATATCCAGCCTTAACTAGGTCACGAAGCTCTACCTTTCAGCCGTCAATCCAGTTGAAACAAAGAGTACGTTTGGACTTCAACTGAACATCTTTATTTTAACATCTTCTTTGCTGGAGGAGCAACGCCCCGTGGTTTCGATCGTGTCCTATTATAAATTTCATCAATTCTGATAGTCTACTTTCGTAGACACAAAAACTTGTCATTTCATAATTTTTTCTTTAAAACTCCCTTCCTTGCACTGTGTAATAGGACCATAGTTGTGAGACCTCTGCTCCTAGACATTTAAACCGTTTGTTAGCGAATATTCATGAGAAAAGTGCTACAAGCATTGACCAAAACGTTAAGTTGGGAAGACTTCCGAAATTAACTTTTACTGTTTTTTCTGATCAGAAACCTAGATTTTATGTATCATTGATTGAAAGAAAACCCCCTATAGAAAATCCTAACGATTGCAAATGTTAAGCTAAATACTATCATAGCCTAAAGCCAAAAATCGACAACATGGATCAAGACTCTGAAGGTCTATAAAGCTATGCGACTCTCGTCTATGCATTTTCATACAAACAATGTTCGCTAATGCTGAAAGTCAGAAGGAGAGAATTAGCCAAAAATGGCAAACTCCGCCCACATACCCGAGAGCTTACTGCATTACAAAACGTGAAAATTTTTTGCTGAAGCATTTTGTGAATCTACCCTTGGCTAAATTTTTACCGTTGCCAGTGTTCAACAATGTCCAATTTCATTTAGTAAACCGTTACCTGCAATGAATTATCACATACTTGAGTTTATATGACTTGGTAGCTCAACAAATTTAGTTCAAACACCTTCTGCATTATCATATTAGCCCTATATGAAAACTATAGCAAAATGACATCAATTTATATGGTGCTCTAATTGTAATAATCAATGAGGATCGGGTCTTAGCCATTTATGGAGAAATAATGCACTAGGGAAGTTACTAAACAAGTATTGTTTTCAATGAACTCAGTTTGCAGCATTCTATTTCCTGCAGCCGCTCATCAAGGAAATGATTTGCTTCGCTTGAATGAATCCAATCTTGTTACGATGTCTGCATTTACAATCAGAGTCTACAGAAAACCTGGGCTATTTCCAAACGTGATTGTTTATCGAGACATTGATTAATTCATTGAGAGATTCCCACAAAGATCTTGCTCTAATCGCTCACTTGCTTTTCGTTGTTGGGACATGTAGAAGTAAATTTGATAAAAACGCCATTTTCATCAACTTTTACATATCCTCACAAGGTAATTTTTTTTGAAGTAGCCTGAATCCTCTGGGACAACTCAGAAAAGAAACTAACGTACAATGCAAAAATGTGTTTCTTTTATAATTCCCAGAATTCTCCGATTTAGGAGCTATCGATAATGTCTACCTCAGACTAATCCCTATAGTCTCTCATTTTCCTATGAAAATTCGGTGAAAATTTGGTAATTCTGGAGACGGCAACAAGTATTTGAAGACAACGAACCCGAATGTTTGTCTCAGAAATCCCAATCACATACGCAATTAGCTCGCATGAACCAATAATCTTGTAAAGTTTGACCTATTCTCCCAGTCAGTCTGATTGCTGACCGACCAAAATGTTTACGGACTTCCTTGTCGCGAAGAGTAGGATAGTCTCCGAACTGAGAGTAGGATAGTCTCCGAACTTAGTATTTTTCTAGTCAACTTCTATCAGTAACAAGTGTTTGTGACGAATAGGAGGTCTGGGAGAGGGGATTATTAGTCCGCTCAATCGGTGGCTCGACTTTGCGCATTTACACTGTAAAACTAGGTCAGAACAATTACGATGATAATGTTTCAATTTCGAGACTAAACACCGCAATAAATCTTGAAGTGACTTCTTACATTCTGACTACGGTTTTTGTATACGAGCACACGCGTGATTACGGTTCGTAATCCCCATGCATAAAAGTCGTGCTCATGTGTAAAAAAGTCACTTCAAGAGAGGGGGGAAGGGGACTCTTCCATCGTAGTGATCAAAGTAGAGCCTGTAGCTCTATCTCTTGAAGGAAGCGTCCAGACAAAATGTATGCTACTCCGATTAATAGCTAGCCTAAGAGCAGACTCTAGGCGAGGGGCATCTGCATTGGTCCAGCCCTCCAACGTAGTCTCCGAAAGGAGAAGATGGACATGGAACCCGCGAAGGTGCTATCAAGCCACGCCCATCCTATCAAACTCCTCCCATGCAAAAACTGAGAGTCGCCTCGCCCCCAATCCGGGGTTCTAATTGGGCTTTAGAAATTTGGACCTTACGTACTTTATGACTGTAATGAGCCACGGAAAGGCCCTAAAATGACAAAAACATGGAAGCCTAACTTTAGCTGGATGCTGTCTTTGAAGCGATCGTGCTAAGTGCTTGCGCTCAAGTTTTTGTGCAAACTAGGTCGTGAATAGTAGCGCGATTTTTCAATTTTGAGAAGAAGGGTGCTTGTCAATGTGATTTCATCCTTACCAAAAAACACAATTAGTGCCAGTTACGACTGATTTTCTACGCTTTCCATCAGCTTATTCAAATGGTAGAGTGGTGAGTATAGCAAAAAATAAACGGATCTGCCCTTCTCCACCCTAACCCAACTCCCCCCCTTCTCTCCTCCTACGCCTCCCCACCACTCTAATTGAAAATGCATAGTTATTTATTAAGAATCTTTACATGGGCACACGCCATGCAATTTTATCGTTCAAGAATAAGGCAAAAACTATAGACTACACTGTAGTTTTGCTTTACTTGAACGAAAAAAGGTTAGAATTGACCATCATGTTATCAGATTGCAAAAAAATGAATTTTGAGGCATGTAAGGATATTTTTAGAGGCTTTTATCTACCGATATCAGCATGCATATTTCAAAGCGAAATGGACACATCGAACGCTTCCTGGCTAGGCCATTAGGCGCGAGTAAGACGTTCGTTCGAGACGATGCGCACGTCCAGAATAGGAATGTGGGAAATCGATGCACGAATCGCGGTTAATTGAACACCTCAGCGAACGACCTTCAGACGTCGAAAGGGCTGGTTGGTCGCGCGCGTCTCATGGCGCTCGCCTCGCTCTGCTCGTCGCCGATCCTCTTCTGCACCTTCACCACTCTAATTTGCCTTGTTCTTATTTACTTTGAGATAATTTTGGAAATTTTTGACGGGCTTGTTACTTGCTGTTTATCGATTTAAATATTGGAACGGGGTTACTGTACACCTCTACAGTATTCGCTGATTATTTTAGCCACAGAATTTCACAATCTTGACATCGCTAATTCATGGTCTTTCATCGTCATCGCATAATCTCTCGTCTTCCATTGGCTAAACTGTAAAATGACGAAATGTACAAACAGTCAATAGAATTCATTTCCAGCCTTTATCGTTCAAACATTGCTTATTTATCGACTTCTGTTCAAGGGGCTTTAATTCTTCGACGCTGTCAGCACCTCAGGGATTAGAGCAAAACAAAAATACAGGGTAATTCAGCCGTAAAATCGTGTCCGTAATGTTCAAGAAGTTCCAATTCTACAACGTCAATATATCCAAAGGTAGAGCAAAAAAGAAAAGTTTTACCTGTGAAATCGTGTCTACATTAATTCTATTTATTTTCTCTTGTACGAATTGTGTCGATTTCTTTTCTAAAGCAAATAATAGTTTTTCATGCTCATGATTTTCATAATGATGATATTCAGCCTGAGGACATTTTTGTCTTTGTGAAAAGCGACTGTTTTGGATATCTGTGAGAAAGCTAGCCCTCAAACTTGAAATTTTATCCTATGGGGACGTTTTATGGCAGAGTGCAAAACGCCTTGAAAACTACTCCATTTTTTCCTTGTTTTCTTTGTATGGGCTGCGCCTGTAGATACAATGAATCTGTTGATCCTCGAGCGAAATAAAGTGCCTTTGAAGGCGCAATAGACGGTGATTGCATGCGCGTCGTTCTGCTCTGGCAGAATACAAATCGCCTTGCACTTCCGAATCGTTCGCGTCGGCCGGCCGGGCTGCCTGTACGTGCTCGGTTTTTTGCACCTCTTCTCACGATTCGATCACATGAGTCAACAGCGCCTCGACTGCGCCTCCATTCAGCTGGCAGCATCGCCGAACGTTCTCAAATCAACTCTCATCCGTTCTCTGTTTGTCGAGAGTTACCGAATCGATATCGTATACCTGACCTTAGCGGTGGCTGGCGAGATAGGTTCCGCGCACCCCGTCGCCGCTTTCCCCCGCGACATGCGCATGGACAGACGGGTACCCCCGTCTGGCTGCTGACCGCCGCGACTGCGCGCACCTTCGCTCGCCTCGTTCGTTTACCGTCCAACTTCGCTTCCTTTTTCGAGCATATTCTCTCAGCGATTACCTTGGAACGAAAGTGGCTCTTTTGAGGAGTTCCTCCGCTAATTTTACGGCGGTGCAATGACCGACGAAAATGGCGTCCCAGAAAATTCCGAGGACGAATCGGCTGCCTATGCGGAGAACGGATCGCTTCCAGTCGGAACTTCCGAGTTGGAACAGGAAATCAAAGAGCTAGAACGGCTGCTGCGGATCGAACGCGAGGAACGGCGCAGGATTCAGACCGAAGCACAGGTTCGTGTCATTTATAACATCAACTTGTAAATAAAACAAAATACAGAGAACAAACGAATTGAATGTATAAATTCGAATAAAAACAAATTATAGAAGAATTTTATTTGCAATTTTATCTCATCAAAAATCCTTCAGATTAGCGCATTAATCTCTCCACTCAGTTACAAGTGTATCGCTAGTCATCTGCGTCTATCCTTCCTAATTCTCCTTCACCTACAAATGTTCACAAAAAGGTGTTTCGCCTATACTCTTTATCTTTTATTGTAACTTGTTTCCTTCTAACCGTTTTCTCGAAATCCTTATCCCAAGCTTGCTACCATCCCACAATTGATTCAGTCTTTCTTTATCTTGTTTGTGAATTTTTCTCAGTAGACGTTTGTACATATATCATATATGCATTATATACTCGTGTAATTATTATATACTTTTGTTCATTTTTATTTATTTATTTACATTTAATCATCCATGCACTTAATGTTGAAATTATTTTGCGGATATCTCGCTAATTCAACACTTTATGAACTGCAATTATGGCGAGACTTTAACGTATCAGTTACCGAAATTTTTGAGAAAAAGGATATCAGTTTTGCAATAAAAAAGTGTGCTAAACTCTTTAGAAGGTGTGACCAGTTACAAAATCATTGACCAAGACTACATTGCGGAAATTCTGGTCTGACTCCTTGAGATGGCCTTTTTATGATCGAATTTGCGATACTATTCAATTTCGTTGATTTTATCTTGACATTGTGTTATTTGATGTTTTCTTTTTTCATAACCACGTTCCTTTGGCGCATCAATGGATGCACTCAATAAATAAAATAAAATAAATAAATAAATTTCAGGCAGTGCGCTAAGTAATAACATGCGTTGTGATGGAAGAATATTCAAAAAGTACACATGTCCTGTAATTAAGCTCTTTGTGAAATATATTCACGTTCTGCATAGCTGCAAAAGCTATAACGAAGTTTTGCCTATATTTTTCCAAAAGAAGTCGCATCGTGCATTCGCCTTTCACGTTTGGATTCACTAGAAAAATTTGTAAGCATGAAGAACAGCAGCTTTTCCTTGCTCATCTTTGATTCATAAGGAATATCAGTAAATCATGTGAAAACATTAATACCCACATCTTCTGTTTTAGCGTTGATGTGCTCCTGCTCATTATGCCAAAATATAAAACAATATTTTGAACAAAACACAAACAATATTTTACAACATTTGAAATTTCTTCGCAAAAGTAAAATATAAAGCAAAAGTAGATAGAAACCCATCCATAATCAGATTTGATGTTCTCTGATCATCGAAGAAAATGATCTCCTTTTCGTATCTATCCATTTTGAGGAGTTGAGCGGAAAACCATATTCTCATCAAATTTGATGAAATTTCTACGTCCGAAAAAATTCCCTTTATGTTATCCAATGAACATACTTGCGCCTGAGTAATTGTCTGATGTCATCATTTTTTGAATTTGCTGGGTGACTTTGCAGAAAAACGTAAATGTTACTTCCTCGAAATTTAGTTCAAAACAACTTCACATTTGATTTAACCCGAGCATTGAAAATTGAACTTTTATCTGAGTTTTCTAAAATTTAGATTATTCTCGAATAACCCAAAATAAGTTTGAAACAGAGGCATTTTCTAAGATGATCTCGAGCTCATTTCTAAGTCGTTGGCTACTAGTTGAGTAGAAACATAAGTTTAAGAAATGAGAGCAAAGTTATCCTGTTTGAAGACCAGGATTCCCTTAGCAGTGATTGTTCGAGAATTTTAGTCCGCGGGTCACGGAACGCGACAGAAATATTTTACAAACAAGCATGGCTCCACTTCCAGTCTCACCGTCCAAAAATTTTTTTGGGATACTCGCCAACTTGCGGCCTATAGCGCAAGGTTTTTGAATAGCAGACGTGGCTAACTAATTGAATCTTCTGCTTGATACTTTGAATATTTACAGATACATCATTTCTCCTTCCCCCCCCCCCTGCCCATCACTGCCTTGTATGTAGTTTACTTTTTGTCTAACAAGGGAAGGATACTCGGTCACCGCTGCCATTTGGAATGCGATGTATATTGTAAGATGCACCTCGCAACGCTGATTCCAAATCTGTGCTCGATATTTGCGAAGCGATATTTCGAAGGAAGTGAATTTTTTTCCGTAGAAAATTTGCGTTCTTTTGTGTAATTAAAATCACCAAATTTGCTCTAGGTTACCATTTGATGCTATTAAAGAGAATCTCAAAATGAATACTGTTGTATTATACCTATTCAAATCATATTCAGCATTTGAAAAGGAAAGAAAAATTTTTATTGATGATTTTGACACTCCGCAGTAACGCAGTTTATTCATGGAAAAATAATCATAACTCCATCCAGGTTATCGTTTCGCAGATATGGAAGACATTATTCGAACCAGCATCAAATGGCGCATTTTTGATATACAAATTATTATGAATGGCTGCGGTGACCAAGTATCCTTCCCTCCTAAGCAAGACCATAAAATTTCTAACCTCGTTCATAAATTCCCTTTGATGGCTTGGAAGTACATTTTTAAGGGACATTCTTTCTTTCTGACAGCATCACATTTTCTTTTTTACGGGTTAGGAGGAAGGCTTAGCTTCATTCCCCAAATTCCCTAATCAAAGTAAATTAATGCCGCCTTTTCCATTACATTCCGTTTACTCAATGCACGCGACTCGCCGGTCTCGTTCTCATACTAAGCGCAGTTGTAAAGATATCAGTGGGAAATCAGCAATATCATGACTCATCGTCTCTTCTCATGCAAAGATAATCTTCGATGTGCTGAGCTCAGCATGTATCACTTTTATGATTCTCAGATCACTGCGACACCTTTGGCGTTTGTATGGTCTTTTTGCGCCTCCCCAAAACATTCCAGTACCAGCCTTCTTAATTCCATACTCCTTTCTGCACTTTTCTCTAGTAAAGCGCATGCTGTGCGGAGGTTATAAATGTTCTTCCATTCCCTTCAAATGGGATAATATCATTTTGACTCGGAGAAATAGCTCGTATTTTCATTCACATTCATTCTCTTCCACAGCACTCTTGTCTCTCTAAAGTGTTGTTTAGGTCTTTGCCCGAATTCTAGTGACTCTCACATAGTGTTCATACCTCCGATAATACAAGTCTTGTACTACCTACTCGTTTCCAGTGAAAAATTACATCCCTGGCCGGTCCCTAAGGCAAGAAAAAAAAACGCTCCCAATAAGTTGTTCACACCAAAAATTTGAATAAAGGAAAACTGCGCCTTTCGATTTGAGCAATGTTAGTTGTTTGTTCCCATAGACTCAGCAATTTTCTTGCTTACTTGCCGTGGGCTACTTGAATACTCATCCTGAAGAATGAGTGCCTCAATATTTATTTCATCTAGTTTTTTTTTGGAATTTATGAATTAGAGACTGTAGTCAGATGTTACTTTGTGCTCTTCGTGATGTGACGAACATCACAGCTCATAAGTGTTTCAATACTAAAATATAGAAGCCCTTTGCGATAGTCTGCCATTGTTTCAAGCTATCAAACAAGTCATGAGCGTTTCCTTCCCTTAAATATTGACTAGGGGAACGTATCCAATCCGTAGCAACGCAAAAACATTGGCAGTTCACCTCTTCCACAATCTCTACAGCTATCCACTTGACCAACGGCCTACATCAGTACCTCTCTGGCGCAGCTAACTGGTGGAGCCGTAATCATCCCGAGCAAACCATCGCTCGGCTTTTCCCAGAAGAATCATTTCGCAGCTAAGGAGTATGGATCTAGTATTGAAGACCTCCCCGAGACCAGCAGAATGATACACATCACGTGTAGAAACCCCACTTCAACGTAGGATCCTTCCCTTGTTAGACGTTGAGCGCGTATTCCCCCTGGAAGACCATTGCTAGCACACAAAGGCAAAAAGGTTCATGATGATCGGAGGACTGTGAAGATACATCTACTTGAACCAGTCTTTTTTCCTTCAAAATCTGTTCATAGAGATTCTCTAGTGATGATTGGAAGATAATGGTGTTGAGTACGTTATTGTGACAATTGGTGAAGTTAGTTAGCACAAGCTGTTATTTTTTGAAATTGGCTTGTAAATTTGGCAGTGCCGCAGTTTAGACCTATTGAATGGCAAATTAAAGGCCTTTCACACTGTTTTACAACGGTTTAAAAAATTTCCTCCTTGCACCCTGGATATATATAAGTATGTTATAAATGACATCTCTTCGGAGAATCTACTGGACATTGTTTTGAGAAAGTCAAACAACATGTTAGGTCATCCCAAAAGTTTTTTCGTATTCGTACCTTCAAAATGATACTTCTCAAAAACTAAGGCATCTAGAAGGATGCAATTCTGTGGGAGTATTCTTGAGTGAGTAAGCTATACAATGACACATTTGCGAAGAACATAGACTCATTATAGGCCAAGTTACAAGTTGAGCCCTTTATTTTTTTTTCTCGATTTCTAGCCGCCAGAAAAATGCAGCAAGTGTATCTATAAATGTCTGATGGGGAAAGTATATGCGTGAGCAAGTGGGAACTTTGCAGAATGTTTCTGGACTAAGATACGATAATTTTTGTTTTTTTGGAATTTTGGATTTTTTCCATATTGTCTTAAAACTTGATGCGGATCAAGCCTAATACGAAATTTCGAAAGCCATATTGTAGAGCTTGCTTTAATCTTTCGAATGGTACTCCGCTTCTCATCAGAATTCTAAAAAGAGCAGACTTATGCTGGTGAAAAGTCTGATACGGAAAAACTTTTGGGATGACCTAATATTAAAAAAATAAGAATCACTTCTTGAACCCTAAAAGAGACTGTATTTGCAGGATGAGATGGAACGGGAGCTGCACTCGATGGAGGAGCGGTGGATGGAGCGGACACGCAACACGATTAAAGAGCGCGATTCGCTTTTGCAAAAACTGCAGCAGCTCGAAGAACAAGTGGACTCGCTGCGAGCGGACCTCAACAGGTCCGCTGTCGAGTCCGCTGAGAAGTTTTTGAGCCATAATTTCTTTCAGAGCAGTGGCCTACCGACTCGAGGTCGAGGAGTCGCGGAATCGCATGAAGAGCCAGCTGGAGAGCGTGCAGCGCGACTACGAAGAGACGATGGCCGAGCGCAGCAGCGTGCTCGAGGAGAACAGCCGCATGAGCGAGGAGCGCGACCGCCTGAGACAGACTGTGCACGCGCTCTCGCGAACGCTCAACGAACTGCGCGGTCGAGGGGTACGGTTGTCGGAATCATTAAAAGTTTTTATGTTATGCTTTTCGATGGAAAGAAATGCTTCAGTCACCTTTATGCGAAAATCGTCATCTCTCGGACCCTAAAACGTGCAGGGGTAAAAATTTCTGCGTATTACATTCATATAAAAACGAAGATTGGGGTGTTAGTATGATCTCCAGAAGTTTCTTCATTGTTTATTATAAGTCGGACAACGTCTATTAGACAAAATTCTGAAACATGCATATCATACTCGAAGAAGATTGTGTACTTTTGAAGCAAAATTCTGGCAAATTTCATAGTTTGCGTTGTAAAAAAGAAATTTCTCTGAAATGAACTTCTGATTTTTGTAGTTTGAAAGTTGAGTAGTCATAATATCGCAGACTGAGCTGTAAAAACCACTCTTTGTTGGTGACGAACACTGTACAATCTAATGCGGAAATGTCAAAATGCTTTCTAACCGAAAAAACGAGTTTTCCATGCAAAAATGATCGAAAATTTGAACTCTCCGCAAAACAATCGAAACTTGTTAATAGAGACTTAGGTTTTTACAAATGCTTCGCCAAGTCAACCTTCGATCCATAAAGTTATCTGCTCGTTGTGCGCAATCTAAGTAAACTAAAATTTGGGGAAAAGTTCAAAAACTGAAAATGGCACTCTTCGAAAGTGTCTTTCATGCATATTTTGCGTCCCCAGAGTCACACTAGAAGAGCGAACAAATTATTTCTGCGCTGATCTAACGGAACAGAACAAATACTTGAAGAAGTGTGACATCGACCTACGAAATTTTTTAATGGGATGTGAAAATTTTTTTTGAGAGGCTGTTGTGCAAGCATATTTTGCCCTTCGCTTGAGAACATCAAATCTTAAAGAATATGAAAGAAGGAAAAGCAATCTGACAATGGGCAAGGCTTTTTATCGTCTCACAAGGAAAGGATACTTGGTGACCGTGGCCTTTTGCAGCGGGATGTATACCGGTAGATACGCCTTGAAACGCTGATTTCAAATTTGTGTTCAATATTTGCTGTGCGACTCTCTGAATAAAGCTATAGACTTTTTTCCATATTATTTTCACGAGGTTTAGGCAGTCACAATCATCAGTATTCAGGCTTTTTAGAATCTGATATATAAAAGACAGTTTTTCTGAGCTTAATGTAAAGCTTTATTTTATCTTGGCACTTTATTGTAGTGCGTAATGGACACTCTAACGATATTGGTGATTTCTGTCATCAAAACAGTGCAAATTTTGGTGGCAAGAAATGTCCATAACTTCTTTCGGAAGAGCGCACAGCAGATACCGAAAGCAGATTTGGAATCAGCGCCTCAAGATGCATTCAGTGGTCTACTTTTAATTTCAGAAGGCCACGGTCACTGAGTATCCTTTCCTTGTCAGCAATATTTCGGGTTTTTTTTTCAAAATTTGCATTCACAAACACAGTGCCATGACCCTTTTATGTACGGTATATGTACATCGTGAATTGTTCAATTATAGCCCATAGTATATGACTTCTTTGAACGAAAACTAAGTTCAAATGCATTCTCGTTCAAGTATTCATTTCAGCACAATGACGACGAGTTGCAGAACATCTCAAACCGGCTTGAACACACGAGGCGGTTGCTACAGTGTGAGTGCTTTTGTTTAGACTTGAGTGCTATCCGTCTTCGTCATTCCTTTTTCGTTTCAAAAAGTCTATGGAACTTTCGAAACGTCCTTGAAGTCGATTTGGACTCCAATTTGGTCTCTCAGTCCATGTAGATGCGGGGACATGAGATTGTTGAGACTAAGTAGGGGATGTACGTAAAGTATCAGAGTCATTCTTTCGAGCTTTGGATGCGATGGTGCAATATCCTCTTTTTCAATAATCAAGCCAAAGTTATCTCTCCTTATCTGATGGGTTTCGTTTACACCGAATAATTGAATCGACTAACTCTAATACACGAGATCAATTTATCTCAGTACTAACTTACGACTTCGATAAATGTTTGTGGGCTGGGAAAGACTTTGCACGGTGTTACAGATTAGTGTGACAACGGCTATACAAAATATTGCCAATGCATATAAACACCGTAGATTCGGTAAATAACATTAATTTCTTGTTGATGTAGGATAACGATACATGCTTTGGAAGCGTTTCAACTGCGAGTAATCGCTCTGTCAAAGGCTTGGAAAAACCTAAAATTCAGTTAGATCCTTCAAGTGTGTCACAGTAGGCGCAATATATCAAACGATGTTGAGGTCCTTCACCTGCATGTATTATTCTCGAATAACCCTACAAGGCAGAAAGTTTTTTTTAGAATTTATGATGTTTGTTATAGTTGTAAGGCACAAACACGAAAGTTTTCGGACTTCTCGTAAAATTTGGAATGGTGCGCGCAGATCCCTATAACGATAAAGAAACGAAGAAGATCAATGATTTGATCTGTACTATAAACCCAATGAGGCTATCTCTACAGAATAATAAAATATTAGCTGAGTACAGTAAATTAAGAAAGTCATTGGCAATCCGACATACTCTCAATGACTTTGGGTTTTCAACCTCCAATATCTTTAATTAGTCAAAAAAGTGGCAGACTCCACTCGTACCTTGGTTTAGAGTGGATGAATTCTGAATCCAAGGGCAAGTCGATTCAGCTCGATGAGCTGCCTATTCTGATATATAAAAATGCCCTTTGGGATATGAGCGGTCAGATCAAAATTTTCGTCTTCGGCAGGTTACTCAGTGAGTATTGTACATAAGCCCACTCCACAAGCAGATTTTGAAGTGATTTGAAGTGGTATCGGCCATCTACTGGGTCCAAAAGGGGACTTCTATATTTCAAAAGTTGCGTTTCGGCGAAATGAGTCGAGCGGTGCCCTCGTATTCAGAATTCGTGCAATCTAAACCAAGATATTGCGATGCGATGCGGATGTCGCCACACTCCAGTGGAGTTCGGCGACTTTTTCATTTTATCATTGGGAGTAATATATGCCGGCCAGCAAAGTGAAACACTAAAAGTACCTATAGAGTGAAAAAAAACTTTAAAAATTTTGATAAAGGCAACTCTAAACTTGGTATTTTTTAGTCTAACAATGTCGAGCCAATTTTTAGTAAACATCGAGGAAACCGCTTCAGCAAACGAAAAACGAACGGAAGCTCTGGAAAAGTTGGAAAAATTGCGAATGGAATGTTCAAGGCTAGCCGAAGAGCGAGATGCTGCTGTTCGAGAAGCTCGAGCTGCGGATGCCGAACGCGAAGACGCTCTGCACCGGCTGAGAGAGCTCGAGTGCGAAAAGGAGCCGATCACTGATCTCTGGAACACGCACACTATCGAGGTGGCGCTGGTAGGCGAATTTAAGCTTTAGAAAATTTATGGAAAAAGAGCCTTCGTTTTTCTGCAGCCGTATCCAAAACCAAATCTGGGAATCGTGCTCAGTGGAGGGAGGACTGAAGACAGAAGTGCAATCCCTGCACCAATCTACGTGAAGGATGTGCTGATCGGCTCACCACTCGAGAATATGCTGAAGTAAGTAATGTGTCACTTTTAATGTCATACTTCAATTGCAATTTCATAATCTAGTTTGAGTGGCCTCAACATCATTTTTGGAGAACTTTACATGGGGAACTTTGAAAACATGGGAAACTGTGAGAACTCGTTTTGGTGCATATAAAGAGGATCAAAAATTTTTGACTTGCATAGCTAAACTCCTTCCTATTTTTCCAAGATTAAGGCCGGCGGCCAAGATGAAAATAGCGGCAAATAAGCATACTGTACTCCTGCGTTATCAATTTGCTGCGCAAATAACCCTCCTTTTCAAAGGAAGATATTCTTTGCTGGTTAAAAATGATGTTAAACCGCGAAAATTACGACTTAATAAGCTCACATCGTTTTATCTAATTATTTGCATGTCATCATAGCTTAAATGTAGAATGTAAGTGAGATTTGACCTACGCAACACATATGGCTGGCACAACTCTCGTTCATGTTGGTTGTCTCCCATAAGTGGCCGCTTGTAACATTCAAATCGCCGAAAAGTGAAGTACCGTATCTATTTAGGAGACTTGATCATATTCTTATGGTCAACGACATTGATGTAATGGACATGGATCAGCGCAGTGTGATCGACATCTTGAAAAACAGTCACCACCTCAAAATGTTAATACGACGACGAGCGAATGCTGCTAGCATTCATGAGATCACCTTCACTTCCAATCAAGGTCGGTTTGATCGGTACAAAAAATAGAGTAGACAATGGTATTAAGTTTCCAACTTTTACGTAACAAATCCTACACGATGCACACAAAATGCACACACTTCCGGCAAATTTTGATTTTCTTTTGTGACAAATCTTCGCCCTTTTTTGACAAGCTAGCCGCACAAGGGTGCTGCCATGAAGGAGACAGTTCTGAATACATTTTTGAAAATAATTGTAGGATAGAAAAAAAGCGTTTAGACACAAAAAAATCGAAGAAGAACGGAAATTTTTAGAGTGTTCAAAACTGTCCAAAATTGCTAGCCACATGTGCGTATGCGGCATCAGTCATGCTGATATGTAGGCCCTAGACTTTCGTGTCCTTACTTATGGATCAAATTTGGAGATTCAGTAATCTTCTGATTTTTCTAGAATCGAGAAAGGTGTAGTAGAAATTATCCCAGTCTAAATGATGAAAATTGTACATTTTATTGAAAATAATTTGATATTTTCCAGACATTGGAATAGAGTTAGGAAATGGTGTTTTTGTGAACTCTGTGGATGCTGGAGGTGTTGCCAGCCGAGTTGGAGTGGAGCCAGGTCATCGTATCGTACACGTAAATAATGTGCCGGTTTATGATGCAAAACACGCCGAACAGCTCATCAGATGTAGGTTTTTAAAATTTGTTTCAATTTCACCATTACCTAGTCGTGGTCTCTCCAGATGGGAGCGGCCCTGTTGTGGTAGGTCTTCTCGACGGCAAAAAGCGGCCCGATCCCTACTCCAAGGATCAGTCATCCAAACAGAAAGTGACATTGTTTTCCAAGGTGGCTTCATCAGGTTTTGCACAAGTTGAGGTCAATATCACCCACGGATTCAGATTTTCGGTCGCCAGTCGGGCGATAAGCCAAGAGTCGTTGCAAAGGCAAATATCGGCAATGCCTCCGGTGAGCAAGTGTTTTTTCGGCAAGGATCACTAAGGATACCTAATCCACAGCATGTCTCACCGGAACTGGTTAGATATGGATCGCTCAGGTATGGGGATGCTGTTTAGGAAAGCCAAAATTCTTATATTTTGTATCTTTTCAAGGGCACCGCAAGGAAGCGCCGAACATGCAAAAATTGTTGAGCAACTGGATCACTTCCTCAATAAAAATCATGGATTGTAAGGGAACTCAATAGTTGTTGATGCGAACTCAAAATATTCCATTTTAGGCGATCCTCTGTAATTTGTGAGGCCACGGGTAGCACTTGGCCGAAGTCTGTACCCCTCCTCGAGGATCAGCCCATCCCTGTGCGACGACGACTTCATCGCCCATCCGTATTTCCAGTGTTTGCATCGTCACAGAATCACCATGGAAACTCCAGGTTTGGCTATTATGTTTGAGATTTATGTTTCGAGTGATTGGCATTGAATGGAGTTTTCCTCACATTCGCGTTTGAACAAATGGTGAATATAAAAAATGCGAATTATTTCTTTCTTTATATTAGAAACAAACCTATCGAACCTTTGCTGTAATTTCATGCGTATTAAACCAAAAGAAAATTTGATTTGTTCCCGCAAACCTCCCAGACAACATGAGCACCTTTACTTCCCTAGGGGCTGCTGTACGTGGTGCTCCCAGTGATGCCGCCCAAGGGGTGTGGGTGTAATAAAAATCTTTTTCAAATTAAGGTGCGTGATCAGCAAAGGCTAACTACTTCGTAAATTTCTTTGGGATGTGTTCGAAAATGTTTGCTAGCTTACTGCCCGAAAATCTAGAAAAAGGGGCATGGCTGGCACGCACCCGAAAAAAGTTTTTCTACAAGCTAGAAATGTCAAAATTAGAAAATATCTTCATTATTTACAAGCAATAAACAACTTATTTGCAAGTAATAAACACGTCACCTGCACATTTGCTTAACTTGTAAACTGCTTTCGGAAATTTTGCGACTCATTCTTTCCCTCCTCCCCCCCCCCCTCTCCTCGGTACGCTACTGCTGTGCTTCAAACCTCGACAATTTCAACGACTCTGAAGAGTTACATACATATTATTACAACATATTTCTTTTTATATCATCCCAGTTTAAAGTTATTTTTTTTAGCAGACTCGCAAGACAACCGTCCGAAATGTCGTCGACCCGCTGCGGCTGTTCATCGCCTTCGTCAGCGTGGTCACCTCGTTCTAATCGCGATTCTTACCCATCTGAAGGACGACTCCCAGATGGAAGGCCTATAAAATCTCCCGCTCCTACTGCCAGCTCTTTCACTCATGCACATCGAGTATCTGCCTATAGGTAAGGCCTTACCTTCTAGCATGCCCTAACAAGGATTGTCTGACAAGACTACTGGTTTAGCCCTGCTCTTCCACAACCGCCGCCATACCCTGGGCCTCGAGAAGAATCAATCTCTTCACTAATATCTTCAACGAATTCGATTCCACATCCGAGCACAAGTTCAGTCCACCTCGCCTACCACAACCACGCAAATAATTGTAATATCAAATTGTTTATAACACTGCTATGCTCATGTCCTTTTTTTCAGCTCCCTCAGGTACTCTGCTTTCGGAGAGTTCCGACAAAGTTCGTCGGGTATGCTTGAGCAAGGAAGGTAACGAGTTTGGCATTGCTCTAGAGAACTCGGACAGAGGCGTGGTCATTTCGAATGTTCCTGGCAGAGCAAATGGCCTGGTCCGAAGAGGAGATAGGCTTCTTGACGTAAGCTTTCGTTAGATCAACCCATGTGGAGCACTAAAACTCTCAGCCTTTATTTTGTATGCAAATGATTTTAGGTTGGTGGGATCAATATGAGATCAGCAGATAAAGAAGCTGCTCACAAAGTCCTGAATCAATTTGGTGTTAGTCAGGATGAGGTACAGTTATCTTTGCTGATATATTCATTTCAAGACATCGTGAAGCAGTAGGCTACTTTTTTCTTTCAAAAACAAAGACTTTGCTCCTACATTGCGCTTAGTCCTCAATAATCTAACTTACCTTTCAAGGTAACTCTTCTTGTCAGCGGCTCAGTGAATCCACGTTGGGTGACGGTTCCAAGAAAATGTGTCCGGCTGTGCGGTGGCAATGCCATGGGCATTTTATCCGACGCTGCAGCTGGAGAACTTCAGGTCTGTTTTACTCGTTTTCTGGTTCAATTCTTACGCAACTATGCTTTTTTTTACTAGATGCTGTGTCTCTTAATACATGTGGTTCATTTTAGGAAGGAGATTTGATATTAGAAATTGACGGATATAACGTTCGTGGTGCAACTCTCGAAGAGGCAACCGAAGCACTTCTCGAAAGTCTGTCCGAAATGGCCGAGTTGCACGTCGAAGATGGTGGGTTGCTAAAATAGATCTATGATGTCAAGACTCTCTTCTTAAATCTCATGATCTTCAAATTCGTGCAAACTCCTTTTTTTGCAATTTGCACTTTCCTCAAACTGTCTATCAGTGTCGCTGCTTGATTGCAACAGCCATAAATATCATTTTTTTCCTCAAGAGAAGTAACGCCGATAAAGGCAGCAGACTGCAAAGACCTGAAATTATAAATTGCTGTAAAAAGCACATTTGTCTTTTTCATATATGGCTGCACGAGGCCTCATAAGATTCTCGGTTACCATTTTGGTACAAGAAGCAGTTGTAGCACCGGCAATTTCTATTGGGTCAATTGCGTACTTTACTTTTTTCATGAATACCGATGGAAGAGTATGTTTGGGTTGAAGATAAATGATTTTTCTGCCATTTTTCAGGCGGAGATCGCTTGAATCGTTTGCGACTAGGTGCGGATGGTGACTCTTTCTATGTCAGAATAAATGTTGATCGAGGAAGTGAGAATAAGGACGAGCTTGACATCAAAGCGGTGAGCAAGACGATGTGACTTTTAACTACGAAATTTCTCAAATTTTTAGGGAGAAATTGTTTTTGTGGATAATACGATGTTCATGGGACAACGAGGGAAGTGGCGAGCATGGAAAGTGGATAGGGAAGGTCGACAGAGGGAAAATGGAATTATCCCATCGGCAACTCAGATGGAGAGGACTGACGTGCGAGGGAAAAAGTCCAAGGTTTGTTGGTGTTGGGTGAAAGTCTTAAAGTCATAGATTTACAAATTTAGAACCGCCTGACTCTCACACGACCGATCTATGAGCGTGTAGAGCGAGTTTCATCTTCAAGACGACGGCCAGTTGTCTTATTTGGTCCACTTCTTACCCCAATCATTCAAACCCTCTTGGATGACTCCAGCAGGTAGATATGTCCAGCAAACGGTGTACTAGCAAAATTATTCGTTTTAGGTTCTCCCACTGTGTGCCGGAATGTCGTGCATTGCAATCTATGGAAGTGGAACGTCTCCTTGCCACCTGTGAGCTGATTGAAGCTAGAAGGAGAGAGACTTTGTATGATGTAATTACTGCGCCAGCTATTCATCATTTTGCAGAGCTTGGGTAGGTTTTTACATATTCAAACATGGGGTTCATAGAAAACAATCCTTCGCTGTGAGAATTTTTATTCAGAATGTGCAGGTACCGAATTGCTTACTCTATCTACCTGAGTTTCAATAAGAACATAATTTATTTTTGTGGCGAATTCATGTCAGAATTTTTTTCCAGTCTACAAAAAAAAAGAAGTAGATCGGAGCAGAAACTGAGAGCTGTGCTTTACAGCAATAGGTCGTAGCATGCTCTTTACCCTTCCATATACCAAATCATGTATCATCAAATTGAGTTATGTTGACGCTGCGGCAAAACTATCCTTTGATTTTTTTTGTCGACTATTGTTTTATTTAGTGTACATTGTATCGTGGATGTATCCCCGAATGGAATCCAACGTCTTCATTCTCTTCGCATTTACCCTATAGTGATTCGTGTAAAGTTCAAGTCTGCCAAGCAGATCAAGGATGTCAAGGAAGACTTTTGTGGCGAAAAGATCACAACTAAGCAGGCCAAGGATCTTATGGATAAGGTATGCGATTTAGTCAGTAGTCAGGGCCCGGCAAGAGGGTGGAAAATTTCAGGCTGGAATTCGTTTCATGTAAAAAGCATAGGGTTATCGTAATGCATGCCTTATCGTCTGCGCCCCAGAGAGGTTCCCATAGGTACCACGTCATCTCGCTGCCTTTCGCACTTTTGAACGTGTTAACCTCAGCCACTTCCGTTGAAATTTCAGGAGAAACGTGTCAAAAAGAGCGAAAGGCAGCGTCGCACCACGTACGCACGCTGTTCACATGGGAACCTCTCTGGGGTGCAGACGGTACATACATACCCCTTAGACATATTCAGCCCCGTGAAGACCAGATTTTTACACGACTGACGTGACAGTACACGTGTTCAAACACGCTCGCGTTCAAGACGCCATTTCAAAAACACATATCCTCGAGTCATTTGTAACTTAATATGTGTAATGCACAATGCGCCTTACTTGACGAATTTGCAAGATGGGACCTGCTCATTTCCAGTGATTCTTGTTATCTTGTCTCTTTTAATGATGGTTGTGTATTGGTTAGCCTAACACATATCTACTCTTTGTTACGTTAAAAAAGGTTTAAGGAGTTACTACACACATAATATTATGCTACCAAATCTGTCATATAAACGGACAATGGTTAAGAGGAACAAACTGACTCGTGCAAAATTATGTGACTGAAAGACCAGTGTGCTTTTTTCTGGAATTTTCTCGATCCAAAAAATTGAAAAATGACTCGTTTGCAACGCGCAGACGACGATATAGCACGAAATGGTTTGTACGCGCAGTAGAACTAACAAGGGAAGTCACTTAACTTAGGTCGGGCTTTTGAAATGAGACATATATATTTAGAATCACCTCGGAACGCTGATTCCAAAAATGCTATCCTTAGCTGCGAAGCGTTTCTCTGAAGCGAGTTATGAGCTTTTTTATTATGTGTCATTGACATATAATTGAATATGGAAAGAAGGTCTTTAGATGAAAATCTGCCCAAAAAGTGGTGGAAAGTCAAAATAACATCAAATTGAGTCATTTGGCTTTGACAGGGTATAAATGCGTTTGAACCAGTACCTAGATGATGATACCGTAGCATGCCTAAATCAGTCAACACGCAAAATTTGCTCAGGAAAAAGCTCATAACTCGCTTCAGAGGAATGCTTCGCAGCTAAGGAAAGCAGATTTGAAATCAGCGTTTCAAGCTGATTCCAACCATATGTGTCTCATTTCAAAAGCCCGACCTAAGTTAAGTGACTTCCCTTGTAAGGGACAAAGTATGAGAAATTATGCAATCTCGTGAGTAACGAGCATGCCCAACCTTAAAGGCATCGTCCACCCAGATTCTCGACTTCCAGGTTTTTGTCGTTTCAGGGCCTTCTCATGTCCCTGATTCCAAATATGAAGTCGAAAATCTTCGAAAATCTCGAAAATTCCCATTCCGGAGAGCCCACAAGCCGGCTTTCCAGAACGGTGATTGGATGAGCGCGCACAAATGGGCGGGTATGGATGGGCAGGGGCGGGCATGGATTGGGGTCCTCGCGCATCTTCGCTATTCCGAAGCCATTTTCTCGCTTCCGAAGCGGCATTTTGCGCAGCAACTTGGGCATTGGCTTGATAAGAGGCCCTAATGTTATATGCTGCCAAAAGCTCAGCACCCTCAACTTAGGGTGGACGGTGCCTTTAAGTGGGCAATTGCCCACCTGAATTGAGCAAAATGCCCACTTCACATAAATTCTTCAAACTTCCCATATAAATCAATCTTCTACATCTTATTATGTAGTGACATTTTGGCAAAGCCCCTCCCTCCTTCTTTCTAGAGTCCGAAATATCAAACAGTTGCAGCTTTTGATGAAGAAAACGCGCTCCATTCAAATCAAGCAGCCGGCGCCTTTTTGACAATTTTCCAGCTCAAGAATTTTTAGTTGAAGAAATTGCTCAATATTATTTTTAAGGGTACAAATTCTGTACGAAGCTTTGAAGTGCGGAAGAATTTGAGCAATTATTATCCACAGAATCAGCTCGTTTACTTTACTTGCTCCAGCGATATCTTGTTGTAAAAGCTCTACAATTTTATCCAGACAGCAGTTTTTTTGATAAAACTCTCTGCGTATCTTTCAGTTCCAGAACTCGGCTGTAGAAAAAGAGCTCGAAGCTATGAATTGCACTGCTTCTGTGGTTATGGTGTCATCACAAGGACCCGCTAGAGGAGTGGTGAAGCACGTATGTCAGCAGGTGAGCCCCTTTTTGAGTGCCCTATATCGTTCTCAATGGATTCTTTAAGATTGTGGCATTGATAGAACATGAACAAAAGAAAACCATATGGATGACGACTCCGCAATGAAACTGAAGATGATTAAACGAAAGAGTTTCCTGACTTATTGTCTGATGTATTTGTGCTTAGCAGTTTGGTTTTCAAAACTCATTGATCTTTTGCATTTCCAAGACCACTTGTACAACTTGCCTTATACCAATGTTGCGGTTGATTGGACTCCCACATAAGTGCCTTTTGCATAAGTTTTCAAACGAAATCATCTTTTTTTTGTACACAAAGTTCTGATACCCTTCACTGTAACTTCCTGTACTACCTGATTCGCTTCTCGATTCACTTTTCTGCAACAAAATTTTTTCTCGATTGCAGGATTCAAGCTCTGCTCTGGCTCCATTCAGCTGGAAATCGCCTGAAAATTCTTTCATATCTGTGATTTGCAAATATCCCGGTTATGGTCGTTGATGACATGTTCACACTAACATCACAACAATTTGTTTGTCACTTTACTGTGTTACCAAAGATTTTATAACATTAATATGTATTATGTACGTTAATTGAGTAGCAGCACAAATATTGCTAATTATGCGAAAATGTAATAAACGTAAATTTTGAAATCCATAGTGTACATCATCATGAGAGTAGAAAGTTAGTATCGCTTCATAGAGGTCCTTCAAGCGTTCGAAATTATCTGAGAAAAAGTGAACGAAACAATTTACTGACCAGGTTTTTATAAGATTAACACACTTAAGATTGTGTCCTTGAGTTGGCTGAATTGCCGTTTGAGTGTAAAGGGCCGGCATACTTCACGCGATTTCAGTCGCGACGCGACTTGGCAATATTCCAAGCGTCCATAACTCATTGTAGGCAAATTTTAAATGTACAGAAGATAGCGCGTTTTATCAATCCACGTAAGTCATACACACTATGCATGTGCGGTTTGCTAGTGTTGAATCTAAAGACATTTGGCGAATTTCCAAATCGCGTCGCGACTGAAATCGCGTGAAGTATGCCCGGCCCTTAAGAACTTTTCATTGCAAACTCCTAATATTATGGACCACAAAAAAAAGAACAACAATCAAAGTGCTTATGCCAAGTGACTGTCTGTCATCACTGACTTACATTCCAAAATACTCTCATTTTCGAGGCTTTTTCGTTTTTGTATCTTCTAGAATCACTGAAGTCTAGCCTGAGCAATTCTTGATATTTTCTATATTCCAAAATTTGAAAAGTTTGGAAGTGCATATCTAGCTTTTCAACCATGCTCATCTAGCAATTATAAAGCTGGAAATCTCCTCTTGATTCTCACCCCAGTAAGGAATGTTAGCTTTACCGAACCCTGAGAGACTTCAAGCATACTGCAGTCAAAATTGGTGCTTATCAACAACTTCAAGCGCGAACCAGATAGGGCCCAGGATCCTGCAAAATGCTGCGATTCTCAGCACTGATAATTGAACCTTCGTATCCCCCGAATGAACGAAACCATGTTTCAGGAAACATAAAAAAATAAAATCTTCATTTACGTTTCTTCTCCATTTAGATAATTTAAAATGTGTGGAGCTAAAAAACTACAAGAACTACAAGAATAAAATATTGAACGCTTTACCCTTCCACGTAGTCAGTGCATTAGCACTTCGCAGCCAGACCCATATAAATACATATTACCAAGGCATCTGTCTTTTTGTCTGAAAGCCCTTCTCTCACGAAATCCATAATGCGAGTGACAGAAAATGTATAGGGCCACATTTTTTCATAGGATGCGTTGTTAATACTTGGACTGAGCACATATGGACGAAAGGATTGCGCTTCAAATGGTTCTGTAAATTACATACACACATTTCGTTATCGATGCAATTGCAAATTTGGATCTTGTAGAGCTGGCTTCAGCTTATAATCACAATGAGAATAATAGCCTATGTATCTTTGCTACTAATAAGAAGTTGCAAACGGTAACAGTGTCCGAGCGGTTTTCACGCAAGTAAGAACCAATTTTTGATGCGAAAATTTTCATCAGAAAATTTTGTGATGACACTAGACTCCAGTCATTAGTATACTCCATTTGGAGTAGAAAAAGGTTAACATGGCAGTCATTTGGAAAAGTTTTCCTACTGACAAGTGTAACAGCATCAAATTTGAGGACATAATGAAGATAGTTCTAGGTATGATCAAGGAAAACAGAAATTTTTCCGCAACGTTCTAAGGCTAAATATAATCGATGCAAAAACTGCTTCGCTGCCAAGAAAAATCTCGAACTCACTCTTGAACACGAGGCTTTTTCGAATGCAAGTATGACCAGTTTTTCCAACTTCTTAGAAAGATTTGTCTTGTAACCGACATTCTTCGATCTCGGTAAATTTTTTGTACAATGACCGCATATGAACTTGAAGCATGTAAACTTGAGAGTATACATCAAGCTGTATATGGCCTATGTTCTCCCTTCATTGAAGTATGCCTGCCAAGGTCTGGAATCCTCACTTAGAAAAGACATTCTAACCGTGGAGAAAGTCCAAATGGTTTTCACCCGTGTACTGTATTACAGATTTTTTCCAAGCGAGGATTACCCGTATACCCTTCCCTCCTATAAATGTAGGCTGGACCACTTGAAGTTGCATAGCTTGCTGTATCGAAGGGGTTTGGCTGACTTAGTGCTTGCCTTCCAAATAATTCGCCTGGAAACAAAAATTGTTCCTAGTGAATTTTGGGTTTGGAGACCGTGCAACGGCGGAACAGGTGGGTATAGCTTCCACTGCATTGACTCTACTGTTCCAAATACGCTCTTCTACAACTCATTTTTCGCACGCACTTCTCGATGGTTACAAAAGCTTCCTGACGCAGTTCTCCTGCTCCTAAATCAATTACTTTCAGAAAGAAACTTCTTAATTGTGACTTTTTGAGATTGCTGGGAATAGATGAATCTGAGTACTTTTGAGATGAAGTTTCTCTTTATGTCCTTTGCTTTTTTTTCTTACATACGTCCTTTGCCTTTTTCTTCTTACATTTTAAATTCTACTCTTGGCTCTGTCTCCTTTTTTTCAGAGTGTTGACTTGCTCAGATTAACGTTGGCTATTCTCTTCACTGTATTTTCCACTGCTCCTTGGACTTCACTTGGAAAGTTGATCGCCTTTTTAACTCAGTTATGTTGTCTCGTCTGTTTTGATTTCAGAGGTCCTTGCGTGGCTGCTTATACAATTCAGTCGATACAACTTTGCTGAACTTCGGTCCACGTTCCCTTTGCCTAAATCGACTATTACCTTGTTGTTTTGTTTTTAGTTTCTCGTTATATGAGTTATAGTATAGCATACATTCGTATGACCTTCTTGTTCCATCAGTTATTTATTTTTCATCGCTATTTTGCTGGCATGCTCTTGCCTCAGAGGCTCTCTTACTATATACCAGCTTAGTGTTTGTCTTCTAAATTTGACATCGTCTTTGTCGTGTAGCTTTATATGTTTATCTCTTATCCTTGATCATCTTGTATCCAAGTCCGATGTTAGCGTTGTTGGAGTAAGCCGAAGGAGGTTTCCTACCCGCCGGGTACGCATGATTTCGCTCATTCGCCCAGGTGCTCATCCCTCTTTCTTCACTCGGAAGTGACCGTATATTTCTATACCGTCACGCATCGTATTTGGACTTGTACTTATACCAAGTTTAGCCCCCACAACACTGATTTTGAAGACAACACTGACGAGCACCTAGTTTAAAGAATTACTCTCCTTAATTTCTCTAGGGTGTTGAGCATGTCACAATTTCGTTTCATTGCTGTCTTTGTCTGTCGTTGCATTCGTGTCATTGTACTGGTGCACTGTGCACAACAGTGTATCAATAAATAAATAAATATGAGTTCTCTACTGCACATCAAGCCTAATAAGCCTGCGCAAATACGCCAAAATTCAGGTAGACCACTTTCCCTTCTGCACGTGCTGATGTTCCGAATTGAAGCAATAAAACTGCCTTTGCAGCAAAAGCGTTCAGTTCAAAAAGGATCGTTCCGCTTGATGTTGGAGCGGTTTGAAAAAATAAGACTTTGCACAAGTGACTTTACAACCTGATAAATGAGGGTGGAAATTTGGGATAGAGGACTACGTGTAACCGCAAGAGGAAATCATAATTGACAATGACAAGTGAATACTCATCTCTCATACACGCAGGAGATGCACACATTACGAGTGTCCGCGCGGGACTTCATCTTTTGGTCCATATAGAGGATCCACCAAACCTTTAGTAGATCCGATAGAATTGTGTCGGTAGACTTCCTCCGATATTGCTACACGACAAATACGATGGTCGCGATAGTCTTTTACCCACACAACACGATAGACGCGACGATGGATGACGGCCAAGTGACAGTGAAGAGCTTGGCGGCGAATCAGAATAGGAAAGAGACTAAGAATGAACCATCGCCTAAAAATGGAATCCTTATATATAATTTCAAGTGAACAACAAACTACATAAATACATATATACAACAAACACGAACCCGGGATCGCAGTCATAATATTTTTCACAAGTTTTCCTCTCAAGCTGGTGAATTACAGCTTCTGCTAGACTTTTCAAAAACGTTCGGTAATTTCGCAAAAGGATTGAAGTGCTTCTTCGTCTTAACAGCACCTCTGGAACGCTCTCCTCTCTTCAGGTGGCATGTAGCCTGGATCATCTGCTTTTGATGTAAGGTTATCGAATGGAAGCATCAGTATCCAGTTCTGTGAAAAGTCGATCAAGGACCATGCAGCCATGGGATTGTACGATGACTTCTCGTGTTGCTTTAGAGAATGCTTGTTTGATAGATTTGAGACACTCGTAGAGGCCTCCCTGCCAAGGAGCGTATGGAGTGATGTGAAGTGATAATTTCCAGTTCGCTGGTTTCTCTGGTCACGACACTATTTGTATTTGTTCACTCAGAAAAGAAGCATTATGCAAGTGATTGGTTGGACATCCCTCCTTGCGATAAATCTCCCCATCGCATTAAAGAAATCTTCTATGTCCATGCTTGTGCAAGGCTCGAAACATTGACCCTAGGGTGGGGTAAATTTGCGTCTTTTCCTGTACTAAACTATGTACGAGTTTTAACTTATCCAAAATCTTGAGTTCTTGTAATAAAGCTGCTCTTCAAACTATATTACATCAATTTACTGTTCGTGCACCATATTCCAACAATCATTTATCATCGATCGAAAAGTACATACTACGAGACATACCAATAACACTACAATCATGAGGAAATGGCAGGAATGAAGGATGGTCAGAAGCCAATTCTCAGAAATGGAGGGGTGCAAAAGAAAAGAACAACGGCACCGAAGTGCCAGGCAAGATGAAAAGAAGAGAATCAGATAACGAAAGAGTTATGTTTATGTGGCTGCTAATTCATCTGGTGCGGATTCCTTATATAGCATCCTCCAAACAGGTTTGTTACTTTTTTCGTCTCTCTTCCATTGTGTCACTTTCTGATCGTCTTGAAATCCGTGGCTTTGACATAATTGTCCTTCTGGAGGCTCTGATGATGATTTTTCCCTCCATTACACTTCAAGCATGATCGTTGTTCATGTGGCAAGTGGTTTTTCCTCGCTTTCACTTGAGCACATGATCACAGCTTCTAAGTACGATCAAATTCGTTTCTTGACTAAGCAAAGCCTATCTTACACTTGTCACTATTTCTAATTTTCTCCTTTTGACTGTGCAAGCGAAGATGCATACGTATATTTTCGTTTATGTGTCTTCTTTTTTAGATGGTAGATAGAAAAAATCAACTCCTATGTGCAGTAATGGACGCCCATTCTAAACTCTTCTCTTTGCTTGATTCGAAAAATAAGGATAGTGGATGGTTGACCACTGGATCTTCTGCACCTAAGCAGTTACGGATAAAAAGTCAGACCACTCTAAGTATTGCGGAATCCAGCCTGTGATCTTGCGCTTGATATTGTGTGTTCCACTCCTTTATGGTACATGCCGTGTGAATCCTCTATAAAAAATGCAAGTGTGGTGAGAGCCTAAGTGTGGTCGGCAACGTAAGCTTACGAGCGGCACTTTCCATAGATTAAGAATGCACCTTGACCTAACCTTGATCGTGAGTGTCTAGGTAGGTGCCGCGATGATCTCACTTGAATTCAAAACACTGACGACAACGTGACCTGCATGGTGTCATGGCTCAAATTTTGTTAAATGACCACTATTTTGGAATACATTTGCTTGAGAAGTTCTCTTACTCTCTGAATCCAGAATTTGCTTCTACGTTTTCAGGTTTTTTCTTAAAATTGCTGTAGGCGAGGATCTGCGTGATTTTAACCAAAATTTTTCAAGTTATTCGTGGAAGGCATTGTCCCATAGGCGTCGGGCAGAGCTCACGCGATTTCATCGCAGCGATTCATCGCGAGAACATAACTGTAACAATACCACTGATGCTGATCTTCTTGCATTTTGGTTGCGATAGTTTTCCAACACGACTAATCGTGACTAACTATTGCAACCGAAATAACAGAGAACCGGCATACAATGAACCCGTAACGTATGTCTAGTAGCGATGAATCGCAACGATCGCGTGAACTCTGCCCGAGGTCTAAGGCACACAACTAAAAATAAACGTTGTTTTTAACGTGTAAGTTAGAGCAGCATCCGCTTCAAGATGGTCATATGGAAATGGTGTGCAAACGTGAACCCAGAGAAAAGTAATATTTCCATCTTTGTCTGTCTTCATAGAAGTTTTTGCTCGCACTCATTAGCGCTCGGATAGTAGGAAAATTCCCATTTCTTTCTCCTGTTGAAAAAAATTTCTGCGATGAGATATCCGAGCTTTGATGGGATCAGCAACAAACCCGATGGGAGTGTAAGTCTTGGTGCAGAAACTTGCAAGAATTGCCATAGCTGATCACATATCAATGACATCTGCGGATTAGGCGCTTGCGTGTTAGCGCGAAAAATGGTATCTGATGTGCTTCTAGGAACTTCAGATCCTCTAAAGTCGAATTTACTATTTTTCCCTTCCCTGTCAACACGGGGTTGCATGCAAGCGCAAAGCATGACTTCTTCATTCCTCACCCTTGAGATCCACTTGCTGGATTCTGTAGGTTTTGTTTCATGTGAAGCGAAGGTGTATATTTAACAGCTTTCTGTTCCTAGGCTTTCCAGATTGAGTTTGTCTGCTAGATTTGAGTTGATGAATAACCGATTTGCACCAGCGTCGGATAGTATTTCGACTTCGTACCATTCTCGTCAACCAGCTAATATATTTTGCATAACCAGTGAAAGTATCAGCTTTTCTCCACTGAAGGTACTACTCTTTTCTTTGTGCAAGATAGCCGTAGGTTCCTTCCTTCCTTCGGCATTGTCTAATCTTTTGCAACTGTTGCCCTTTACTGGATGTTGCTGATCCTTGCTCCTTTGCAGCTTCATTCCGTCAGCTTTTGGCATCTGTACTCAGATGATCGCCAGGGGCAGGCGGTCATGCGAGTTTTGAGCAAGCGAGCACCAAAAAAATAGGCCGCTTCATGCGGTCCGCTTGCAGAAATTTGAAAGAATGCTGGCCAATTTTTAGAGGAATGCTCGGAGAAGTATTGTGGTTTTTCTATAGATTAGTTACGGGGCAGTGGCCGCTTCTCGCGGACTTTCCGCGAGAATATGCAAAAGTATTGAGGGCCGCACGGTCTTTTGTGAAGGACCGCACAGCCCGCAGGAGCCTTCCGCTGAAGGAAGGTAACTCAAACTTGAGTAATTAAACCATCGATGACACCTAGAGTCTCATCTTTACTCGGCGTTTGCCCGAAACTGCGTTAAAAGAGTCCTAACGCTTGCTGAAAGTTTAACCAGCGCTCGCTGTAAGAAATTATTTGCCGCTTGCAGAAAATGCTGTAATGTTGCCCGCTGGCAGAATATGCGACCGTAAAGGAAGGCCGCCCGCTGAAGGTTTGGCCACGATCCGAAATTCTGCTGACCGCCTGCAGAAAAGCGCGAGTTTGCGGACCGCCTGCCCCCGGCGATTATCTGAGTAGTGGGGCCTGCCGTAATTTTGCTTTGTTGTTATTTGCTCTGCCTCTCTTGCACTTCCATCCTTGTAAGATTTTTGCAAAGGACGAAATGGTGCTTCCTTCTTTGACATTTTTCGCATCCTTCTTCACAGCAATTTCTTGCGTAATCTTCACCTCCAGGCATAACAGCTTTTCTTGCATAAGCCTGCGTCTTTTGTTCATGGTATCGTAAGTCTGCAGTCGACAACTGCGTGATTTGTGACGTCGCAGAATATGCAGGTCGCAGTTTTCGGTGCGCTGTTTTACCCTTTCCCCTTGCATCTCCTTTTTCCTTGAACACGTTGTGTCCATTCCAGTTTACCATTTGATTCACTCGTTCCCCCATGCTTATTAGTGAGTGTAGATCTTTTGTATGTTACAAAGATTCCTGTCTCGCTTTCGTATTCATTGAGATATGCTCCTCCAAAAGATTCCGCTGAAGCTTCGTAATGTTTTTCGCAGTTACTTTTTGTGCAGATATGAATCGTGCACTCAGACAATCGCCGGGGCAGGCGAGCACCGGAAAAATAGATTGCTGATCTCTCGCACCCCGCTCGCGGATTTTTTGGAAAGTAATCAGGACTTTTCGGAATACCGCTTGCTGAGTTCTCGATTCCTCAGAGATTCAGCAATATATCTGCAAAAGATAAGAGCGAAAAAAATTCAACAGGCGGTCTCTCAAAAATCCGCTGACTCAGCGAGCGGTCTTCCGAAAAGTCCTGATTGCTTTGCAAAAAATTAGCGAGCGGGGTGCGAGAAATCAGCAATCTACTTTTCCGGTGCCCGCCTGTCCCCAGCGATTGTCTAAGCAAGTGTACTCCCACTCCTTCTACTCAGATAACCGCCGGGGGCAGGCGGCCATGCGAATTTTGAGCAAGCGCGCACCGGAAAAATAGTTCGTTGATTTTTTGCGGCCCGCTTGCAGAAATTTGGAAGAAAGTTGGCGAAATCAAAGACGAATGCTTGAAGAACAATCGCGGTTTCTTTATGGATTAGCTGCGGCGCAGTGGCCGCATTCTCGCGGACTTTCCGCGGGAATATGCAAAAATTTCGAGGGCTGCACGGTCCTTTGTGGAGGACCGCGCAACCCCCAGGTACTTTCCGCTTTGTAAGAGAAAGTATCTCAAACTTGAGTAATTAAACCAACGGTGACACCTCTGCCACACAAAGTCTTACCTGCGCTCGACGTACGCCCGAAAATGCCTTAAAAGAGTCCGAGCGCTTGCTGAAAGTTTGGCCAGCGCTCGCTGAAAGAAATTATTTGCCGAGCGCTTGCAAAAAATGCTGTATTGCTGCCCTCTGGCAGAATATGCGACCGTAAAGGAAGTGCCGCCCGCTGAAGGTTTGGCCACGCCCCAAAATTCTGCTGACCGCCTGCAGAAAAGCGCGAGTTTGCGGACCGCCTGCCCCAGGCGATTATCTGAGTAGTTGCGTCACGATAGGGCTTATGGTCTCTAGAAGCTTTCGTTTGCTGGTTTTGTGTCTCGATCGGCCTTTGCACTTTCGAATTGCTGTAACTTCCAAACCTTTCCGGTGTGAATGTTGGAACTGGATTCTGGGAGTGGCTCTTGCCATCTCTACATGCCCGTCAACGGCAGTCCTTGGAACGAACGCTCCGCCATACGTTCAGGCTCCGACAGCACTGAATTTCGTGTCTCAATTCTACTATCACGTTTGTGGCGGTCGATCACTATGTGTGTTCTGTTCAGATATTCTAATGCCTGCGCTTCTTGCTCTTC